AATACGTGGAGAGATGAGGAAGAAGTCTTCCCTACTACTAAATTACATTCTTCCAAATTCATTCTGACTTCACTTCAGAGTATTGTATTTGCTAGGTGGCTCTCCCACGTCAGCCTGCATCATCAGGGTTATCTGGAGGGCTTGTTCCAACAGAGCAATGAACCCTAAGCCCAGAGTTTCTGATTCACTAGGAGTGGGATGGGGCCTGAGAATTTACATTCCTAGCAGGTGCCCAGGAGATGCTGCTGCTGATGGTCCAGGGACCTTGCTTTGGGAATTTCAGGAGGCTTAAATAAGACTACTGTATTTATGACATCACTCTCTAAAATTGATGATTTGTTTGTGATGAGAAGTTACCAGTTAAATGGAAAAGAAAAATGTCTCCTCTGATGGCCTGACGATGGTAAGAGAAATTTATATTAGGCGATTTAAAAATTCATTCTTTCAAAATACAAGATGCTGTCGGGAATCCTGTAATTGGTCAGCTGCTGGGACAGTGGTAAAATGCCTAGTGCTAACCCCAGGTACCAGGTCAGCTTACAGTGTCATGAGCTTCACATTGGAAAGACCCTGAGTGGGTAACCAGCCAGTGTCACTTGTGCCATTCCCAAAGCAGAGACTATCTGAATAGGAGCGACGAGGAGTATGAAGTGAAGAAGATGAACTGAAGGAGCCTGAACTGAAGAACTGAAGATGAGGGAGAAGCAGGGCTGTGAGAGAATCTTGGAAAAGCAACGTCTCACCTGTGGTCCACCAACACCACCCTCCACCCCCACCTGCTCCAGACCACGAGAGAAATCTTGGCTTACTTCTGAAAATAACCTTTCCACTCTTGGGTTTGTGGCGGTTGTCTTTCCTTTCCTAACAGTGGAAACTTCCTGCTGCTGTTTTTGACTAAACAACAACACCATCAGAGCCACATAAAAGTGATATGTTTCATCTGGTTTTATTTAAAGAGGATTCGTGTTATAACATTCCTGGAGGGGAGTTTGACCGTATAAGTCAAAAGCTTTCTAAAAAGCATATTCTTTTTGACCCAGAAAATCCATTCTTGGAATTTATTCTGAGGAAATCAACATGAATGTATCTTCAAACATGTAGCAACTTGGATATTTGTCAGAGAAGTGTTTACTTTTAAAACAATGGAGAAACCTAAGTGTCTAATGATTTAATCTTTAAAGATTGCTGGTACATTAATATTGGCATTTAAATATTGTAGAAGAATTTTTAATTAGAAAAATATTTAAGAGAGAGTGTTACATTTTAAAACACAAATTTAAATAGTATGCTCTAAATTATTAATTTTTTAAAAATGTGATAGGGACATGTGAAAGTCCATAAGCATCCAGTCTCTACTTAGACACTAAAAATTTTTTAACACTTTTTTTACTTGTCCACATTTTTAACACTTACTTGCATTAAGTTTTACGTGAAGAAAAACAAAAATTTTTTTTTGCAGTGCCAAATTTAAAAATTTATTATAAAGTCACAGACTCAAGAGTCTGTGGAATTTGCCTAAAGATAAATATGCAAATCAACAAAGCAGAATTCAGAATCTAGGAAAAATTGTTACCGGGTCATGATCTTATGGTTGGTGGGCTCGAGCCCTGCATTGGACTCTGTGCTGACAGCTCAGAGCCTGGAGCCTGCTTTGGATTCTGTGTCTCCCTCTCTCTCTGCCCCTCTCCCATTCATGCTCTGTCACTCTCTCTCTCAAAAATAAATAAACATTTAAAAAAACTTTAATAAATAAAGAAATAAAGAAAGAAATAAATAAAGTTAATTTTATTTTCACATATAAATTAATTATTTGGGCCAGGTTAATGTCAGGATGGTAACTCTGTTCACAAACAACAGGAAAAAAAAACCCAAATTGATCAGTGGAAATACTCAACAAGACAATTTAACTCCATTTAACAAACAAAAGCTTTTTTTTTTCCCCGTGAAAATATCCAGGGGTGAATAGGAGGTGACCAATCTTTAAAGAGAGTCACATCAGGGGCACCTGGGTGGCTCAGTTGGTTGAGCGTCTGACTCTTGGCTTCAGCTCAGTCATGATCTCGCAGTTCGGTTCGTGGGATCGAGCCCCTTGTGGGGCTCTGCGCCGACATTGCAGAGCCTGCTTGGGATACCCTCTCCCTCTCTCTGCCCCTCCCCTGCTCGTGCATGTGCGCTTTCTCTCTCTCTCTCTCTCAAAATAAATAAATAAATAATAAAACATTTAAAATAAAAAGATAAAGACAGTCACATCACTTTATTGAACGAAACTCTTGACTATTAGGATTCTGCCAGATACGTTTTCTTCTCACTAAAAATAAATGAACAAAATATGTGGGATTGTGTTTATTTGGTGTCCAGTGGACAATGCTTCTGCTCATAAGAAGGCAAATATTCCAATACCTACAAATTAAAGAATATAAACCTAATTTCCTTTCATTGCCGTGTCCTCAAACGTTGTACATGAAGGCCTGGCTGGCACCACCGTTTGCAGCATGGGAATAGAACCCGCCCAGGAGCATGGAGGCATGTCCCCTCTGGCTTGGAGCGTCAGGGCTGGCCCAAGGCTCTGACCAGGACACAGAGCTTAAACTACTGCAAATTCTTCGTGATTTAAGATGACCTCAGAACTGGATCCTACCATCTGAGTTCTGTTTACAGTTTCCGTAACTGCTCTGTGGTTGTGTGATTACTCAGACAGCCCAAGATTCTCAGACACCTCAACTATAATTGTTTCAGAGAGATGATTCGAAAAGTTTGAAAAAGGTGATCTCTAAAGCGAAAGATTACCTCTGGCTCTGCCATCTTTATTCTAGGCACTCCTTGGTGCTCGCTAAGTATTCTTCACTTTACAAAAACGCCACAGACATGAAATAATTACACAAATAATGCACATTATTCTAGTAGGCCTTTTTAAAAATATAAACTGGAAACAATTATAAAGCTATTTATAAAAACTCACTATTGGAAATGGAATTTTCTGTTTGTTCTGAACTAAGCATTGAAAGACAACTTCCTATTAAGAAATCAAAGACTAAGGAAATGCCTACAAGCATTAATGACAGTTTTCCATCTATTTTTAAATTAAGTTCATTAGTGACTTATTTTAAATATTTCATTGTAGACTATATTTAATTTTTATGTTTGTATGTAACTGAGTTTAATCCTCATTTTTGAGCACTCAAATGAATTCATATCCTTGATTTAGTTTTAAAAAAAAAGAGCATCACTTCTGAAGTTTCGGGGTCCTGTTTGCTTAACTATTACCTTGAGTACCACTCAAGTATTCATGAAGCTTTTACATTTCCACAATCCATTCACATAATTTATTCTTGTGAGCGTCAAATCACATAATTTTGCACAGGCAAAAAACATAATTATTTTTATTTTTTGAAGTCGAGGAATGTAAAAGAAAACTAATTATAGTTTACCACTTAGTCACTGAGTTGTTTTTTTAAGTAAAAGTTCTCATTTAAACCTCACTGATACTGGCATTCTCTAGATGAGGAACATTCTCTAGATGAGGAAACAGAAACCCAAGAATTCTGAAATAAACAATAATAATGGGTTTGGGGTAATAATTGGTTAAATATATAAAAACATCTATATTTTATGACTTCATTTATTTGGGTATTTCTAAATTTCAATTTAAAAGATATTATAACTCCTTTAGATATTTGAAAGTTTTCCACTTAATATTCTGAAAACAAATATCCTTATCTTCAAGGCAATTCAAGCATGTCTTTGTACCTTGCAATCTAAGGATTCTTAAATCATTTATTAAAATAGTCAACATGAGAAATTGCAGTATTCAAGGCACCACGTATTTGCAAACATCGATAAAATAAGGTTCTCCAAAAGTCAATTTTGTTAGGCAGATTAATTCTTCCTTCTCACCCTTCATTTCTCTTATTCATTTACCCATCCATCCATTCGCCCATCCATCTGTCCATCCCTCCCTCCCTCCCTCCCTCCCTATTATGGGCAGTGACTGCACCATGGGTTGAGATGACAGAGAACCCCCTGCCTCCCAGGAGCAGGGGAGAATCAGAGAAAAGTGACATAATTTGAAAAAAAAAAAAAATGACATTATAGAATGTGACCAAAGAGCTTAGGGCCTACAGAAAGAAGAGACTATAAATATTTATATTTTTAGTGTACCTTTGCCAGTCCTTTGTCATTTTTTAGTTTGACATTTGAATAATGTCTAAAATACCTGATAAAAGCATCAATAGTCCCATTGTGAATTTTAGCTGCACAAAGCAGCGGTTTTTAGTGTTTTCCACAAGTGAGTTCCATGTAATGTGAAACTGTTCGATATGAAGCCAGAAAAAGAAATGGAATTGGTATTTTACTTTTTTTAATGTTTATTTTTGAGAGAAAGAGTGTGAACTGGGGAGGGGCAGAGAGAGAGGGAGACCCAGAACCCGAAGCAGGCGGCAGGCTCCAGGCTCTAAGCTGTCAGCCCAGAGCCTGGCGCTGGGCTTGAACTCATGAACCATAAGATCATGACCTGAGCTGAAGTTGGACGCTCAACCCCCTGAGACACCCAGGTGCCCCTGGAATTGATATTTTTAAAGAACATATGCAAAATTTACCCAAATAGGAAACCCACAGTGATGGAAGTTTTCACAACCAATGATAGGACCAGGACACAAGAATGTAATGTTTGCCTCAAAAATTCAAAACCTGCGCTATCTTAATTTTTCTGTGGTGTATATAAAGAATAGGATACAGAGGGGCACCTGGGTGGCTCAGTCCGTGAAGCGTCCCACTCTTGATTTTGGCCGAGGTCATGATATCACGGTTTGTGAGTTCAAGCGCCACGCCAGGCTCTGTGCTGACAGGGTGGAGCCTGCTTGGGATTCTCTGTCTCCCTCTCTGCCCCTCCCCTGCTCATGTGCACGGTCTCTCTCTCTCAAAATAAATAAACTTAAAAAAAAGAATTTAAAAAAATAAAATAAAGACAATAAAGGACTTATTGTGGACCCTGTAATTTCCAGGTGTATATGCTTGTGGTGCTTCTGACCTGGAAGAGATCCCAATGACACGATCCTCCTGCACTAATTCCTGAACAAAACTGGGGCCTTGGGTGAAACAGAAGCGGCAGTTTTGAGACGTTAGTTGCTATGATCGGCCTGCAGAAAGAGCAGAGGCCAGCAGTCTTTGGAATTCAGGTAAGTCCTGGGGAACTGGACTCCAGGAGGAAGACGGTGCCACCCGTCAGTGCACCTACATCTCCGCCCGTGGGCGCGCCCTCCTTGCGGGACCCTCCCCACTCCTGGGACACCTGACTCTCCACCTTCGAGGGTCCGCTGGATCCACAGCCCCTGCTGCCCCCGCGTCAGCTGATCTGGAGGGTCAGGGTGGGGGTCGGGGTGATGGTGAAGAGCAGATCCTGCACCCACCCGCCTGCATCTGCGTCCACACCTGCCGCTCACTCGGGAGGTGCAGGAATTTAGGTGAGGAAACAGTCTGCCCTGATGAGAATTCCAAGGCACACACAGCATGACAGATCGGTTCCACACACGCTTCAACGGTTCATTTGGTTGTCTGAGCTGTGGATAGATTTCGTGTCCGGCAACCCTGTGGGGCAGAGGAGGGACGTTGTTAGAGACTACCGACAGCTCCATGTGTAAATTCAGATGCGGGTTTGGGGTGATGCTCCCATATGACGATGATGAGGCCCCCAGGGTGACTTGAAGGATCAGCTGATTCTGACTCATATTACTGCATTCTTTCTCTTATAACATATTGGTAAAGAAGGAGAGAAGTTATTTGGCTTTGGTTGTTTCGTGGGGGTTTTTTGAGTATAGTTGCCACAATGTCATGGCAGTTTCAGGTGCATGACGCAACGACCTGGCCAGTCCGTCCACCATGCTGTGCTTGCTACACATGTCCCCACCTGTGACCATCCCAACTCTTACCATATGAAATGTGTCCCCCGTGCTGTGCCTCTTATTCCTATGATCTACTTCCATAACTGGAAGCCTGTGTCCCCCACCCGAAACCCTTCACCATTTTGCCCACCCCGCACCCCCTCTGCTCCAGCAGCCACCAGTTTGTTCTCTGTATTTATAGTCTAAAAGTTATTTGAATGGTTTAAGGACAGCCCCCCCCATATGTCAATAAATTGCTTCTCAAAAGCCTTTCAAATACTATTTTAAAAAATCATGAATGTGTCAGATATTCTTAGAAGCAAAGGGAGAGATCTATGAATAAGTTCAGCTGTCCCTAAGGTGAGTAAAATAGACAGACTTGCACATACACTGTAAAAATGTGAACATATCGCCTGGAGAATAGAATCCAAAAGTATAAGGTATACAGCGTGACCCATAATCCTAAAAGCATAAGAGCCCCTGACACAAATGATCTATGGAGTCTCTTCTACTCAAAAATTCTGCTCTTCTATTATTAAATTTCCTAGTAGTAGATAGCTAGATCCTTGTGGCCAAGTGTTTCTTAATTAGCATGGATTGGACTGTAATTACATACTATTTTAAGCTTCAAAAAAAGAATGAAATTAACTTCTATTTTAAGACAATACTAAAATGTTTTTGTCCTTTCTGTCTTTGGATCACTGCATTTTGGAACTGAGAGGACACATGAACTTTATACTACAACAGAGGACTAGCCACAAATGCACTCGTATCGGGAAGGTCATGTTACCCCTTCATCACAGTAAAGCACTTCTCCAACCACAGATATCTGAAGCTGTGCACCAACATTTAGAGAAATGTTCTTCCTCCAGCTTCTCATTCCCATTTATATATGCATACATATATATTATATATTATCATATATGTATATGTACATGTATATGTACATATATGTATATGTACATGTATATGTACATATATGTATATATTATGCCTATATGTATATGTACATATACATATAGGCATCTGGGTGGCTCAGTCAGTTGAGTGTCCAGCTTCAGCTCAGGTCACGATCTCACAGTTTGTGGGTTTGAGCCCCATGTCAGGCTCTGTGCTGACAGCTCAGAGCCTGGAGCCCGCTTCGGATTCTGTGTCTCCCCCTCTCTCTGCCCCTCCCCCACTCACATTCTGTGTGTGTCTCTTTCTCTCACCAAAATAAATAAACATTAAAAAAATTTTTAAATATAGATATATATCAGTTAGAACCCAAACAGAATAAATTCAGTATAGGAACAAGACACAAAACAGGAGAAATCAGAAAGTATCTTCATCTTCTTTGAGCAAACTTCTTAACCTCCCCCAGGGCCTAGGTTTCCTTTGTTACAAAAATTAAAAGGTAGGGAATCCAATCTCCTCCCTTTCCCCCCATCTGCCAAAACCTCACTCAGCCTGGACGTGCCTCCCTCGAATTACTTCTGCCTGCTTGAAAAGACGGTGGAAGAAGACCTGGAAAGGGTGGAATGAGTCCTTTAGAACGCTGTGTTGACTCACGGAGCCACGATTCTCAGATCAGACACAACGATTTTGCCTGTATTCAGAAATGGGAGGTTGAAAGATGCCATGAACATGTGATTTGAAGACCCACAGCTGTTTGGGAGAAAATAGCAACAAGAGACCTTTAGGGATAGATTTAGTGAGATTATTCATTCGTACCCCGTTGTGTACAGAATCAGCATACGAGGTAAAAGGCGGGCTGTCCTGCTCCCCAGAGAGCGGGTGAGTGAAGCACCAGAGCTACAGGGAGAGATTTAAGGGAAATAGTTATGTTGCTGTTTACATAGTTTTTTCTATGTTGTGTGTCAATTAAAATTGTTCAAAGAGGAAAAATAAAACCAACATATTATAACTTAGATTTGAAGATTAATATTTAACTTTTTAATCAAATCTATGTGTTGCCTGCAGCCAGGCTCAACAAACTATAGTTTGTGAGCCAGTAGCTATTTTTGTAAAACGAGTATTTATTGGGGGTGTGGGGAGGGACGTGAGCATCACGCAACATCGACATCCTTCCTCGTCTGGCCTCATCCTGACAATTAAATGTTGTATCAGTAGCTTATGGAAAGGGAGTGTGTTCTACCCCAACCTTTGTACCATTTGACCTTCACCCATCTCGCCCACCCCAGCCCATCTCCAGCAACTCCCAGTCTGTTCTCTTTGTCTCTGAGTTAGAGGCCACACATAAGTAAGATCACGTGGTATTTGTCTTTCTCTATCTGACTTATTTCACTCAGTATGATGCCCTCAAGGTCCATCCAGGTTTTGCCAAATGACAAGATTTTCTTCTTTTTTATGGCTGAATACTATTCCATTGTGTGTATGTATCACATTTACCCAAGAGAAATGAAAACATCTGTCCACAAAAACACAAATCTCAAGTCTATTTATAACTGTTTTCTCCATAAGAGTCAAACAAAATAAAACAGAACAAAGCCAGGAAACAACTCACATATTGTACCAGATGTAGAGTTGGACAGATTTTAATGCATTCATTCCATGGAAAATGGCCCAGCAACAATAATGAACAAACTACGAAAACATAGATGTGTATGAACTTCAAAAACAGCCTATTGGGGCGCCTGTCTAGTTCAGTTGATTGAATGTCCAGCTCTTGGTTTCAGCTCAGGTCATGATCCCAGGGTCATGGGATTGAGCCCTTCCTCGGGCTCTGTGCTGAGTGTGGAGCCTGCTTGGGATTCTCTCTTTCTGTATGCCCTTCCCCTGCTCACATACACTCTCTCTCGCTCTCTCAATCTCTAAAATCACACACACACACACACACACACACACACACACACACACACACACACCCCCCGTATCCAACTAAAGACACAGTGCACAAGAGAGACAAGAGGGACCAGGAAGAGGAAAAGAGGGAATTTTATATTGGGTGATGACGTGTCCTCTGCCTTAATTGGAACAGTTTTATTACATGGTTGCTTACATATATCAAAGCACATTAAATTGCACGCTTACAGTTTACATACAATAAGACAACAGATTTTACTTTAAAAAAAAAAAAAAGGAGAAGAAGAGGCCCTCTACACACCAGGTGCTGCAGCCACAAAGAAAGCCCACCCAGCCTCCCTTCCAGAAAGGACTTGCTCCCCACCTGTGAGGAGTGGTCTGCAGACAGGCTCCCAGCTCTCCGCAGCCCAGGCAGGGCCTGAAAGACTGGCTTGCCCCAAGTCCTGTCCCTCCCGGGCATCCTGCAGCCCATGGCTGAGTGGGCCACACTGACAACGGTACTGGTTCCAGCAGTGCCCACGCCCCGCCAGCCTGGGCCTTGCACACGTGTGATGCAAGCCTCACTTCTCCCCAGGCCCAGCGTGGCCTTCTCTCTTGTTCCCTTTCAGGGCATGACCCCTGGCACGTGTCGTCCGCCCTAAACTCCAGCTCCATGCCCACTTCCAGAGAACCCACATGTGACGCCACAGCATCCCGTTCCCACCGAGCTTCCCCGAAGTTTCTTTGGCACATGCCTCAGAACCCTGCCACCAGGACATGCCACCTTAGCTCACTAACAGCCGGCACACTGGAATGTTCCGATCAGCAGGAAGTCATGTGCAGGCAGCAGAACATGGTCGGCATGCTGGAAGTAGGGACCTGGGGGGCAGGAGGCTGCTTGCAAAGGCCGCACAGGCTGCCGGGAGCTCAGTGAGGCCACTTTGGTACCCTGGGTCCCACGCTAACAGGAAGTCATAGGAAACCCCAATGGGGCCTGAAAATATGCCAAAGAGGTGGTAATTGGAACCAGAGACCACAGATTTGTGTGCAAAGGGCTGCTCAGAGAATTATGCCAAGAATTACCATGCTTTTTAATAATAGTTTATAATTATTACATAACTTCACTAAAATAATTAAAATAACGTCAATCAATTCTACACTAACACTTCTAAACAACTGTTCAGCTAGTAGATGTATACCAGTCATTTTATCCCTTCATTCGTTCAGCAAATATGTACTGAACACCTACCATCCAGGCACATACAGCCCACGATTTATAAGTACATTCAAGCTGCAGGTCAAGTTTCCACAGCGTGCTCTGCAGTTACTGGATATTTCTACCACCTGACACATCTGTGCGGAGAAAAACTCCAGGTGTGCATTATGGTGTGACAACCTGCTGGTGCCCGAGTCTGGACATCCATGACCGCTGAGCTGAGGGTTCCTGCCACCGGTCCCTGCTTTGTTTTCCCGGGCCTTTTTCAGTTTCTTTCTTTGTCTTCCTGAGGCACAGT